CTTTACGTCTGAATTCTTAGTGACGTACAGAGCTGTGGATAAATTATACTAAATATATATATATCGCAGGCGATCGATATAGTTGCTGCTACTGTTGTGAAAACACGGCAAGAGGTTCCATACGGGGTAATTTTACATATACATACAAGCCTATAGTAATATACAATGATATATTGGGTGATGACTAATATAAAATATTGCAGACAATTGATGAAATGTCAAATAAGTCATAAAATCAGGTTGATATTCATGAGAATATTTCTTGTAATTCGGTTAATGACACTCTCTGCAAGGATTGATTTAATACTAGTAACTATTATACGCAAAAACTACATACATGTATACATATTTAATAAATATACGCTTTCGGTAAGTAAAAATTGTCGCACGATTTCGTGTAGTTTTCTTTTGAAAAAATGAATACGTGTTTGTTGTTTCTATTTTAATTTTTCATCTGGTATAATTTGTGGAAAAAACGCATACGTACATATGTATATGCGTGTTTGTGAATTTCGCTTTTTGAAATATTTTATTACACCTTGATATGAGTTGCATATAATAAAAATATACAGATAACTATCTTTATAAATTATACTCATAAAAGTGTTATCGATAATTTTTTGGCATACATGAAAATATGACTGAAATTAATTATTCTTTGTTTGCTTTTGCTCTATTTGTAGCGCAAATGTAGCGCATTTTTAACTGTTTATTATGTCAAGATCAGTTAATTAAACGTAATTAAATGACATACATGTAAATAAGATTATTAGCATCTGAATCTATAAAATGTTAATTGCTCTAAAATATACTTCATAATTATTTTATTGTAATGTTTTAGTACATGTACGAGGGTTGTTCGAAAAGTTCGTGGAAGATGTCAATCTTCGTTATATTACTCACTAGAAATTTAAACTAAGCGCAATATAATATGTAAAAATATTTGTTTTGTTGATGTGTGAAGATTCATACCATTCGATGTAACAAAAATCAATTTACTTCATTTTAAGGGGGCCGACTATAGTTTTATTGTGTGAAAACTACAGTAGCGAAACTCTTCATTTTTATACCATATATAACTTACATTAACTTCAGTGTACATGCAAAGTTTGGTGGAAATCTACCGTCCAGGTATTTTTGAGGGACCGTCTCAAGATACAGGTACATTTACTATAGGATTATATAGGAAAATGCCAATTTTTAGCACTTTAAATCAAATTATACAAATACTACAATAGACATTTTGTTCAAACTATAATATTTGATGAGTAATACTATATTATACAATATATGCAAGAAACACAAAATTCTACCGTCTTGTTACCAAAGGGGGCATCTCAAAATGCAAAAAATTAGCAAATATTCCTATTTTTTATAGAGTACTACAAAATATGACGTACACAATGAATTCACATGAAACATGATAAAAATATTTGACATTTTCTCAAATTTCTATGCTTTAAATTTCAAGAGCGTATGTTTATTACTTTTTCTTTCATAATATTTTGATTATCCCTTTCTTTAAGAGCTACAGATTATCATAACGACAAAAAGACACTGCAGCGACGTCAACCTACCTATCAATTGCAAATCCGGTTAAAAAATCAGTTATATCAAATTGTAATTACATTTTTATACCTATAATTTCTTAATTTTGTTTAATTTTAATAATTAAGCGAAAAAAGTTGCATTAAAACAGTAGATACGCTTCATTTTACTATGATGCGCGAAATATTGCGCAATGGAAAATGTAGTCGGCCCCCTTAAATTCAACATGTTTTGTACGCGCGGAGCACACGTAACGGCAAAGTAACGTCGAAACATAGCGTCAAGAATTTCTAAAAAATACTATCCCTACATATTTCACACAGTATAATCCAATACCCACTCATTGAATCCTTGTTCTAATACTTGACATTTCTTTTTTTAAGAATTGCTCTCGTTGTATAATTTCCTTAGTTAAGGTTTTGATTTTTTTTAGTACTTATATTAACCCTAGTTTCACAGGATACGTAACTCTAAAGCGCCCATGTCTTTCCTTGACTTTCTAACTTTTTAACATTTCTGTCACTGAAACACTGCCTATAGATACTATTTGTACATACATGCACATGTGACAACTGGCTTGTGACATATTTTCTTGATTCCTCAAATATTTTTAGAGTTTATTCAGGGATTTTCTTGGGAAAAACACCAAACTGCATCGTTATCTGCTGCTCCGTGACGTTAATTCTAAAACGTCATCGTTTTTGTCGTTTTCAATAAGGACTTCCTATCTTCTCAAGTTGATTTCTTTTCAACAAGGCAAAATATAAAGCCATTATTTGGTATACGAATCGATGTAACAATTCTTAATTTGGATTTTTAGGTTGTTTTTCGTTTTTGCTCCATTTTACAGAGAATACGACTACAGACATTATATAGTGTATTGTCTGTAACTTTCTGAATTTTGACCTGCTCCGCGATCCGATTTTTGCATTTTCAAAATCTGGATAGGTTTTGAATGAATCGTTATATTTTGGAAAAATTAAACCAAATCATTTGGATTTATTGTAAAAATATTTCCACCAAATTTGGATAACATATGACGTCAAATAAAAAAGGTATGACAGCTGTCCACGAACTTTTCGAACAACCCTCGTATGTAACCGCAGAGACCAGCTGACGTTACTAATTTTTCTTTTCAGTTATAAAAAAATATACCCCTACCTAATAATACATGTAGGCCACGGGGGCATATCTTTTATTAAAAGGAAGAAAAAGAAAAAAGAAATGTTAGGTGCCTGCGTATGTAACGCATAATTCATTTATATTCTTTATATATTTGTAAATAAACAAACAAACAAATAAATAAATAAATAAATAAATAAATAAATAAATAAATAAATAAATAAATAAATAATATTAATCATACTTTTTTCTGTAAGAAAAGGGAATTACATCTATAGAGTTTGAATAAAAGTATAAAAGTGGACTTAAATTAATTTAATGCTTTTCCAATTGAGGACATGTGCGTGCTTATAACTTATAATTTTATTCTGCCTGTCTTAGACTCGTTTTAATAAAGGTGTGACACAAACATTTCGCGCCAAATGTCACGTATACGAAAAAACTTTTCATTGCCATATTTGGAATTTTCTTAAACTATTTAATGGCCTTTCTTTATTTATACCCTCCCTCCCCCCCAGCTTGAATATGTTTCAGTAGTGTGGGGAGGTTGTTCAACGTTAGATTCTGAAAAATTAGAAAATTTACAACTACAAGCAGCCGGTACGTATTGTTACTGGTCTGACTCTATTAGCTTCTAGAGAGTCTTTATATTTCGAAACTGGCTGGGAGCCACTAAGTGATAGACGCAAGCTACATAGATTACATACCGTGTATAAGATTCATAATAATTTAGTTCCTGATTATCTCTGTGATATAATACCTGATTTACGTTTTGCAACGTGTCCACCTCTCTCAAAACTATAATATACCCATGTGTAGACTGCAAACTTATAAATCATCATTTGTACCAACTGTAGTTAACGAATGGAATTTATTAGTCCTATCGCTAGAAATAAGAAACTCGGGCTCACTATCTAACTTTAAAAGAACGATTGCACAAAAAATAGCAGTAGCTCCACCTTATTTCAGTTTTGGAAAAAATACGTAATATATACCACACATTGAGCAGACTTCGACATAACTGTGCATTAAATATTGATCTTTATAGGTGTAACATTATATATCAAGTCCATCATGTTCTTGTGGAAAAGTAGAAGACACTCACCATTATTTTTATGCGCCCGGATAGATAGATCCGGGGCATATATTGTTTTTGTCCTGTCTGTCTGTTTGTTTGTTTGTTTGTATGTATGTCTGTTTGTCTGCAAACTTTAACCTTCGCCATAACTTTTGAACCATGAAACATAGAGACTTCATATTTGGTACGCATACTCCACTTATAAGCTCTTTCAAATGACACTAAGGCCAATGGCCTTGTGACCTTGACTGTGATCTTTATGCTATAAATAGCTTTTCATCTGCAAACTTTAACCTTCGCCATAACTTTTGAACCATGAAAGATAGAGACTTTATATTTGGTATGCATACTCCACTAATAAAACCTTTTCAAATGACACCAAGGTCAATGACCTTGTGACCTTGACAGTGACCTGTATGTTAAAAATAGTTTTTTTTCGTTCCTTTGCCTAGCTGCAGATCTGTAGCTCTCCGAAAAAATATATTGATAGATCGGAGAACTACAGTGCCACCCATTGAAAAAAACTGTGTATTTATTGCGCACAAAATTTATTTGGTGTGCATACTCCACTAATGAAGTTCTTCAAATGACACCAAGGTCAATGACCTTGTGACCTTGACTTTCACTTATCTGCTGAAAATAGTTTTTTTAAAACTTTGTTGCCGCCGGGCGCATAGTGTTTCACAAACACATTTTGTTTTTATTATAATTATAGAAATATCATTGTCATTTCTTGAAAAAATAAATAATTTAAAAGCTGATGATTCATAAATTCACTCCTGTTACTATTAATTCATGCCTGATGATTAATGAATTTTTAAGTAAACTGTTTGTTTTCAGGGTTAGGCATGTTAAGGTTAGAGGGTCAAATTAATTTTACAGCTGTTAAGAACTGTATGCTAAATTTGTATTTATTTTGTCGAAGTAAAAAAAATGTTTGGTTGTTTACATTAACTTCTTCCCATTTTCAGAATTCGAAAAGATTTAGTGATTTATTTAATTTAGTCACTCACGTTAAAATAAATTAATTACGATCTTTAAAAATAAAATAACCCCCACCCCACCCCCCAAAAATATAAATAAAAAAAATGAATGAACAGTTTATCACTATCATGTTTGTACTATACTTGTTGAATTAAATATTGATTTCTTTAGTCAGGCAAGCTTTTTAGAAATATTCATTGCAACATTTTTAAGTACGACAGTACGGTACAAACCGGCATCGGGCACGGTATACCGAATACATGTCAACTTCCGGTATTCAAGGTGAGAGCTAAGAAACTAGAAAGAAGAGGAAAACTTTGCCATAATTATGGCGAGTTTGGGCGCGAGGTTACTAACATCAGGGAGCAGTTGTGCTAAAGGATTCCTCAAAGCACCGCTTCTTACTGCAGTTCTGCCAGGTTGCACTCAGGTTGCAAACTTGCGGTCGAAGAACGACCCGTTTCCATTGCCTCCCCGGGAGAAGCCTTTCAAACACAGATTTAATTGTTACTGGCAGCCTTTTGAAAGTAACATTCATCGTATGAATGAAAACTCTATCGTAATTATCGTTGATGGAAATATCGGAACAGGAAAGAAAGATTTGGCCAAGAAAATAGCAGAGGAATTTGATTTGCGGTATATTGAAGATGTTGACTATGACAAAATTTACATTTCAAGGGAATTATGGGGTCATTTTGACATGAGGGAAGTCAATGCTTGTGCCCCAAACCGTACAATGTTCAACAGCCTGGAAACATTTTGGGCAACCAAAAAGTTGGAGGACAACTCGCTGATTATGAAGACCCAATGGGAAATGTACTATTACAGATGGAACGTATATATCGATGCCCTGAAACACATAGTCAATACAGGTATGATAAAGTACTGTCAACCAACTTTTACGCGTGACAACTTTATTTTGCGATTTATCAGGGCTAAACATATATATTGATGCTCTGAAACACTTAGTAAATACAGGTATGACGACTGTCAAAGAACTTTTATTTGCGACAACTTACATTTCACGATTTACTGTGGCTAAACTAGGGTGAATTTTGGTAGCCTTTTTTGTACTGAAGAGCTCTAGAAACACACAAAAGATTTTACAAATGAAATTTAAAATACCCGATTGGCGACATGCAAACATTCACAATGCAGATGCTCACGTGAATAAAAGTTGGTTTACAGTATGGTTAAAATGAGCAGGTAATTCTGGTTGTCTATAATTGGGGCTTCATATTCAAAGGTCCCATCCTTTTCTCCAATTTTGCAAAGGCCAGTCTATTTTTCCATGTAATTTATCTTTAAGAACATATATTGAGCATGGTAAGATATATTATGATAACTGAACTTTATATTCATATTTTTCTGTACAGAAAGAAACAAAGGAATTTAGTCACACAATACGACTATTAAATGATTTTTTCCCCCCACATATTTATATGTATTTGTCAATTGAATTTGATATCCATTGTTGGAATCAGGATATACAATCTAATTAAAATTAGATCTTTGATCATGTTGATCTGATCCAGCTAGATCGCTACACAACTTTGTGTAGCAATCTAACTGGAGCAAATCAAAGATCTAATTTTAATAGATTGCAGGAAATAATGACAATAATATTTCATTGTGTTTTCTATTTCAAGGACAAGGAGTGGTCCTGTCTAGAAATTTATACAGTGACATAGCCTTCTCTTACGCCATGCTGAAAAAGAAACTGTACAATAAAAGAGGTAACCAAAAATATGTTTTAATCTTACTTCTGTTTAACATATATAGTTTTTGATAGGAAAATATGGGTAAGAGTAGATTTTTAATCAGTGTAATAAAGAATAAATGATGGGGATATATATACTGTAAAAATAGTAATGTCATGGGGGATAATTTTCATTGTTTTTTTTTTTGTTTTGTTTGTTGTTTTTTTTTTGGTAACTGATAAACAGCCCAAATTAATAATAAATTGTCCTGAAAAAATTGTAAAATTTTAAATGTGTAGGGTTAACAACTCAACACTTTAATTGTCAACCACAGACTGAATCTAATTCCCAGGAACAGACCCTTTTTTCCTCAAGTGATGAAAATAAGAACTAAAAAAAAGAATATTTGGCTGTTCAGCACTGTACAATACTCAGTAGACAGTTAAAAATTAACTCTAAAAGTGCCGCTAGTGGCTTAAGAAAGAGAATTGTGTTGGGGAATGTGAAAAAGTAGCTAAAATTGATTAAAATTGTATTAGAGGCATTTACATGATTCATAAAAAGTTTACGAACAGACATTTGATTATTTTTCTCTTAGAGGAAAATCTCCCTTGAAATACTCTTGTCTGAGAACTTTAATGAAACATGTGGAGATAACGACCAATTCCAGTACAAAAGTCCATAAAACAATACAAAATAGGAGCAGAGCAAAGACGGACCTCCAAAACATCAGAGGTGGGATCAGGTGCCATGCAGGAGTGAGCATCCCCAGGCCCTGCAGACCAGTCACTCATGCCATGTGCTCCTTTTCATGATCGGGAAATAACTGAAAAATTCTGATTAAAAAAAATTACTTAGACTGCACTAGTTTGTTGACGGTGTATTATTAGTGTTAAAATTTATTTTGTGGATGGTTTATTTTCAGAGTTAAAGCTGACATGAACTCTTAAAAAGCCATCATTTTTCATCTTTGTACGACTTACTACATTCCTGTACACCTTTGTCCGCCATATATCTTCGATTCCGCCATATTTAATTGAAAATTTTTGGTCACCTGTACCTGCTATATATAGCCTTGTACGATTGCTTCACTTGAGTGATTTTGTAGCCTGACTGTCGATATGTGCACATCTCCGATAACAAAGTTTTTAGAAATCCATAAACTGACCAAATACATGTTTGAAAAGTAAAAATTCAACAAAAAATAAAACTATACCGAGAATTAAATTATTTTTGAATGCATTTGCTGCAATATAGAAAATAAACTGACACGGAATACATACAAGTACACCAAACACCCATGCAGGTCGAGAAAACGCGCCAAACGCAGTGATAAAAAACATTTACCTGACTACTGCTATCGTTACAGGGATGTGCACATGTCGAAAGAATTATCCTATTTTACTTTTATTGAAAAATGCATCTCAGAAGTCATGTAATCCATTGCTAACTCAACAGTAAAAGATGCTTGGACACACGTGGCCCATGCCGATCATTTTATTTGGTAAGGGAAAATATCAAAGGTTGAAAGCTCAGTGGGGTACGTTGATTGAAAAAAAAATTGCAAGTAATTTTTTCAAAAATAACATTACTCTTGTCTGTACATGTTGTAATTAAAATTTACGATTAAGTACATGGTTTAACTTCAACAAATTCAAAAAAAAGCAGGCATTATCACGAATCATTCACCTTTTGAAGATATTTTCCCATGATATGGGGGGGGGGGTGTAATAAAACAGTCATGCATAACACTCTCATAAAATTAATGTAAGGAAAACGTCTGAAACAGATTGGATTTCTTTATGATCAATTATTTTCAAATAAATACTGTGTATTGGCTTTATTAGACCTAATATAATTTGATTTAAAGTTATTTATAATTTTATGCACTTTGAAAGAAAAAGTGACCACGTTCACATACCCCACACTCCCCCAAAAGTCGAAGTGCTGAAATTCCCAGAAAAAAAATAAAGGAATCGTAATTTCCTTGTAATATGCACATCTATACACATTGTGTCCTAAATATCTGCAAAGTTTGACGAAATTGTGTGCAGCAGTTTATGAGGAGTTGCGCTGACAAACTGCTCACCTCTATATTCAAGATATGGCCAAAATCTAAATGTAAAAGTGCGGAAATTCCCGAAAAATAAAGAATTCGAAATTTCCTGGTGATGTGCAAATCTACGTACACACACATTGTCTCCTATAAATATCTGCAAAGTTCGACAAAACTCTGTACAGTGGTTTATGAAAAGTTGCGCTGACCAAAAAAAAAAAAAAAAAAAAAAAAAAAGACTGACTGACGGGTCAAAAACATTATACCTCACGCGTGGGGTATAACAAACGAGTTTGATTCTTTGGTACAATGATAATGAAAATAGAATTTAATGTGAATTTTTCTAGGCATAAATAATTTATTTAATGATTATTAGAAAAAGCATATAGGAAGAGAGAGTAAACTCCTCGTGAGAATTCCACATTCTACCTAAAACTAGCTTTTTAAAAATTCTCTTGTCTGTTGTCCAAGTTCGACACATACGTTTGAGAGGGTATTCGAGAAGGTTCCCAATGTTCCCATTCCTGTGATGTATATTTCACGTTTATTATATCCCCCGCCTGAAAAGTGGGAGGTTATATAGTAATCGTTATGTCCGTTCGTCTGTCTGTTATGCTTTGGGGTACCCATCTCTTATCCGCAAATCCTCTTATACCACGTAGAGAAATTTAATGAAACTTTCAAAGAATCTTAAGTTTATTACGTTTTACCATTATACACCCCCTATTTTACTTTTTGATCTGACACGTATGAATTTAGCGGAATATGGACTTTGCCCTTATAACCATATGGGAGGCAGGTTTCTTTTTAGTGAGCTCATTGCTCATAATACATGTACGTCTAGTTTCTCTTTCAATTTGGGCGTTTGGGTTAATTTCCTGTCCAAAGTAAAATTATTATTCAATTTATGAAGTTTCGACATCTCGCCTGTAAAAAATCCTTGATCTGTTCTAAGGCATGATAAATGGTACAGCATAAAGTGCGTAGGATTTTATACCTTTGCCCCAACGGGTGGTTACAGACAGAAAGAGAGAGAGTTCAGTATACAAAAGAATAAATAATAATTATCCGTATTCAACCAGTGTCAAGTATCCCTACCCTAGCTTTTAAAATTATCTCCCAAATTCACCTACAGAAATTATTTATATTTATAAAAAAAAAAATACCTAGACTATCAGGCAGGGATACTGAAATCTCGAAATACTTCCTGTAACAACATAATTATAAAACAGTTACGGTACATTCCTCAAAATGCACATACTTTGTGGTCGGAGTGACACATTTTTAAAAAATCTCAAAACTGAATTCGGAAGAAATGTCTGTCTTCCAAGAATATTTAAATAACGGTCATGTCAATTATTTTTGTATCCCCCCCCCCCCCCCCCCCCCCCCCCCCCCCCGCCCGGTCCAAAAAATCAAATGCCTAAATGTCAATCTGAACAGGGGATGGCCTTTCTCCGTGTGTGTATGTGTTAAAAAATGTATAGATGTACACATAAGAATTTGTATTCTGGTAAATTGCTTTTAAGATTTGAAGTAAATTATTGCCGTACATCAAATTACTTGGTTTAGATTTGAGATTAGTACTAAAATAATCAGTTATAATTGACAAATGAATTTTGCGACGCAAACCAACTGCAGACTATATACATGACTTTGTATAGAACGTATATTATAGAACTACGTGTAGATAAACAATTCAAAATTATAGCTTATTAACATCATTTATAATACCCCCCCCCCCCCTTTCAGCCGCGCAAATACCAAATAACTTCTCTTTCCACTTTTGATATTTTCCCTGACCAAAATCTGATCAGCACGGACTAAGTGTATCGTCGTGCTGGTGTGTACGGAGTAATGACAGTGTGTTTACTATTGAGCTTTTATGGAGTTTATTTCTTTTTTGTGATGCATATTTCAATAAATGGAATTCAGGGTGAATATCACTTGACTTGTGCACATCTTCGAACCGATGCAGTAACCTTATTACCAGGTATGGGTACGTTTACAGCGTTCGAGGCGTTTTCTCGATTTGCATCAATTGCATAGGACCTGCAAATCAAAGACGTTGCTTGTTTTGTTCCATTCAAATGATATAATTTCAAAAATGTGTTTGCAAATTTTACTGCTTTTTATTTCATGTTTATTCTGCATAAATTGGCGCACTGTAAAAATACGTACTCATGCATCTAAATTTCTCTTCCAAACTTGCATTTTTTTTCTTTTGATTCAAATCAATAATCATTCAAAAATACGATTATTATGTTGTTTATTTTGTTTTTGAAATGTCTTGATCACCTCATGTGTTCTCATATGCTTTACCATCGGAGATGTGCACAAGTCGATACCCAATCCAAAAAATCATTCAAGTGTAACGAGCGCATTGGGGTATACATCGTTACAATGAGACAAGGTATCGGAAAGAAATATGGCGGAATACGGCTATAGTTGGTATGAAACAAGTCGTACATAGATGAAAATGTTGCGTTTTCAAGAATTCATGTCAGCTTTAAAATCTATTTTGTATGACTGTGTTTAGTGTTAAACTCTATTTTGTGAATGGTCTATTTTTAGTGTATGAGCAGTTTGAGGATTACGTGGAGGGTTCGTTTCATTATCTCTGGGCGCCACATCTCTGTATTTACCTTGATGCCACCCCAGCATACTGCATGAAGAAGATCAAAGAGAGGAAAGTGGTAAGATAATTAAAGTGACTTTTTTTTGGGGGGGGATCAGATACAAAAATTGTAGAGGGGCTACATTATTGCAGCTGTTTAACATGATGCCCCCTCCCCCTCCTTCTTCCACATATTTTTAAAAAGTCACCATCAAATAGAGAATTTTTTTTAGAAACAGCACAGTAATGAAACAAAACAAAAAAAAAAAAAGAAACAAAAGACAGGTCTGAAAACAATGGAGTATATTAACTGCACAGTAACTTGATAAAATCCATTATTTTAAGACCTGTCTTTTGTTTCGTTTAAAAAGTACTAAAATGTTTAATTGACCCTTGAATCATGAAATATCTGATACCTTGTGATTAATTTTTCAGCCGTTTGAGATGAACAGCCCTATACTAAATGAGGAATTCCTGGCACTCAATGCAGAAGGATATGAGAAGAAAGCATTACCAAAACTAGAGTAAGTTTCTGTCTTTTTACAAATTCTATACACCCTGATGTGGTGGATTTAGGTATACTATAGGTTTAAGGACACATGCATGGTGCGGTATTGAGAGCACCAGCTCTAGAGTATTTGCCAGGAGTAAGGAAATGATCCTTAACTCATGGGTTTGAATCCTACTGTGGATGTTTAAACCGGTTCTTCAGTTGATACCTTATGAATTGAAATCTCTATGATTTGCAGTAGGTGCTGGCAATGTGAGTGAAAACTTCTAAAAAAAACACATTAAACAAAAATAAATAAAGCACCTGGAATAGAACAGTAGATTTTTATGTTCCCCAAACGAAGTTGGGGAACATATTGTTTTTACTCTGTTTCTTATTAAGGTCTTCCGTTTCAGACGGAAGACCTTATAGTGATTCTACTGTTTCTTTTTATTATTATTATTATTTTTTTTTCCCCTTTTGAAATTTCTTTTTTTGACGATTTCTCAGAGATGACTGGACAGATTCTCATGAAATTTTCAGGGGTGATAGAAAATGAAAATATCTTTCAAATGTAGTTTTCAGTATTTCAGAATTCACTTCCGGTCGTCAAATATGTCCGATTTCCGTTTTTACGAAAGAGATCATGTCCGGACGATTTCTCAGGAACGGTAACAGATTAAGACACGAAACTTTAAGGAATAATAGATCATGACAAGTAGATTTGTGCAATATGTTTAAGTCCGTCCTCCGTTACTTCCGGTCGTCACAGGAAGTGGTCAAAGAAATCGAAAATTTCAACTTTTTCTTTTTTGAAACTTTTTTGCATCACGTTATAGCATTTTATTTGTAGTTTTGAAATATATCAGTATCACCGGAAACAAAAACGACAACTTCCGGTTATGAGAGAAAAACTGCATATTTTCAGTATTTTTCTTTCCCATAAATATTTTTTATATAGATAAAGTATTTATAATGATTTTTGGATATGTTATTCAGATTGCAAATGACTACAGTAACGTCAAATATCTTTGGAAAATTCACTTCCGGTCGCATGATTTCCTGTCCTCAAAATGAGAAGTTATCATAGCTAGATCTCGTAAACGATAAGAGATTAAGACACCAAACTTATATAAGTGTTAGATCTTGATAAGTAGGCAAATTCAGTTGGGATAAGACCGTCAGTCGTCACTTCCGGTCGTCACAGGAAGTGATCCAAAAAATCAAAATTTTTAACTTTTCTTTCATGAAACATTTTTTGCATCACATTATAACATCTTATTTGTATTTTTGAAAAATATCAGTCCCACCGGAAACTAAAACGACAACTTCCGGTTATAAGAGAAAAACTACATAATTTGTGTATTTTTCTTTCCCATAAATATTTTTTATACATAAAGTATTTGTAGTGATTTTTAGATATGTTATATAGACTGCTAATGTCTACAGTAACCTCAAATATCTTTGTAAACTTCACTTCCGGTCGCGTGATTTTCTGTCCTCAATATGAGAAGTTATCACAAAGAGATCTCGGAAACGGTAAGAGATGGAGACGCCAAACTTGAATGAGTAATAGATCTTGATAAGTAGGCAAAACCATAAGGGTTAAGATCGTTCGCCGTCATTTCCGGTCGTCACAGGAAGTGATCAAAGAAATCAGAAATTTCAGCTTTTCTTTTTGGAATACTTCTCGGCATCACATTATTGCATCTTATTGGTTGTTCTGATATATGTCCGTCCCACCAGAAACAAAAACGGCAACTTCCGGTTATGAGAGAAAAACTGCATAATTTGAGTTCCATACTATCCCATAAATATCTTTTATAGAAAGAGTATTTGAAATGATTTTAGAACATCTAATTCAGACTGCAAATGTCTAGAGTAACTACAAATATCTGTTAAAAATTGATTTCCGGTCTCATGATTTCCTATCCTCAACTGAGTAGTTAACATAGCCAGATCTTGGTTATGGTAACACATCAAGACACTTAACTTATAAGAATAATAAACTTTGACGAGTGAACAACAGATATAGGGATAAATGTCTCCGCCGTCACTTCCGGTCGTCACAGGATGTGATTTGAAAAATCGAAATTTCCACCTTTTTTCTTTCCAATTTTTTTTCATTACTTTATTGCATCTAATTAGTAGTTTTGAAATATGTCAGCGCCACCAAAAATAAATTAAAAGAAATAAAAACAACGAAAACTTCCAATTATAAGAAATAAAACAACACCAAAGGTCAAAAGGTCAAGGTCATTGGAAAAGTATTTAAATTGCTTATATATGCCACATGACCTTGACCTTTGAGTTTGATGTTTGACCTTGACCTTTGACCTTTGGCCCAAGAGTTATTTTTTTTATTAGCTCACCTGAGCCGAAGGCTCAAGTGAGCTTTTCTGATCACATTTTGTCCGTCGTCCGTCCGTCCGTCTGTCTGTCCGTCCGTCTGTCCGTCTGTCTGTCCGTCTGTAAACTTTTCACATTTTCGACTTCTTCTCAAGAACCACTGGGCCAATTTTGACCACACTTGGTACAAAGCATCCTTGGGTGAAGGGGAATTTAAATTGTTAAAATGAAGGAACATATCCCCTCGCAAGGGGAGATAATCAAGAAAAGAGAAAAATAGGGTTGGGTCATTAAAAAATCTTCTTCTCAAGAACCACTGGGCCAGAAAAGCTGAAACTTATGTGGAAGCATCCTGGTATAGTGTAGATTCTAAATTGTTCACATCATGACCCCCGGGGGAAGGGCGGGGCCACAATGGGGAATCCAAGTTTTACATAGAAATATATAGGAAAAATCTTTGAAAGTCTTCTTCTCAAGAACCACTAGGCCAGAAAAGCTGAAACTTATATGGGAGCATCCTGGTATAATGTAGATTCTAAATTGTTCAAATCATGACCCCCGGGGGAAGGGTGGGGCCACAATGGGGAATCAAAGTTTTATATAGAAATATATAGGAAAAATCTTTGAAAATCTTCTTCTCAAGAACCACTAGGCCAGAAAAGCTGAAACTTATGTGGAAGCATCCTGGTGTAGTGTAGATTCTAAATTGTTCAAATCATGACCCCCGGGGGAAGGGCGGGGCCACAATGGGGTATCAAAGTTTTACATAGAAATATATAGGAAAAATCTTTGAAAATCTTCTTCTCAAGAACCACTGGGCCAGAAAAGCTAAAACTTATGTGGAAGCATCCTGGTATAATGTAGATTCTAAATTGTTCAAATAATGATCCCCAGGGGAAGGGCGGGGTCACAATGGGGAATCAAAGTTTTATATAGAAATATATAGGAAAAATCTTTGAAAATCTTCTTCTCAAGAACCACTGGGCCAGAAAAAGTGAAGCTTATGTGGAAGCATCCTGGTATAGTGTAGATTCTAAATTGTTCACATCATGACCCCCGGGAGAAGGGCGGGGCCACAATGGGGAATCCAAGTTTTACATAGAAATATATAGGAAAAATCTTTGAAAGTCTTCTTCTCAAGAACCACTAGGCCAGAAAAGCTGAAACTTATATGGGAGCATCCTGGTATAATGTAGATTCTAAATTGTTCAAATCATGACCCCCGGGGGAAGGGTGGGGCCACAATGGGGAATCAAAGTTTTATATAGAAATCTATAGGAAAAATCTTTGAAACTCTTCTTCTCAAGAACCACTAGGCCAGTAAAGCTGAAACTTATGTGGAAGCATCCTGGTGTAGTGTAGATTCTAAATTGTTCAAATCATGACCCCCGGGGGAAGGGCGGGGCCACAATGGGGTATCAAAGTTTTACATAGAAATATATAGGAAAAATCTTTGAAAATCTTCTTCTCAAGAACCACTGGGCCAGAAAAGCTAAAACTTATGTGGAAGCATCCTGGTATAATGTAGATTCTAAATTGTTCAAATAATGACCCCCGGGGGAAGGGCGGGGTCACAATGGGGAATCAAAGTTTTATATAGAAATATATAGGAAAAATCTTTGAAAATCTTCTTCTCAAGAACCACTGGGCCAGAAAAAGTGAAGCTTATGTGGAAGCATCCTGGTATAGTGTAGATTCTTAATTGTTCACATCATGACCCTCGGGAGAAGGGCGGGGCCACAATGGGGAATCCAAGTTTTACATAGAAATATATAGGAAAAATCTTTGAAAGTCTTCTTCTCAAGAACCACTAGGCCAGAAAAGCTGAAACTTATATGGGAGCATCCTGGTATAATGTAGATGCTAAATTGTTCAAATCATGACCCCCGGGGGAAGGGTGGGACCACAATGGGGAATCAAAGTTTTATATAGAAATCTATAGGAAAAATCTTTGAAACTCTTCTTCTCAAGAACCACTAGGCCAGAAAAGCTGAAACTTATGTGGAAGCATCCTGGTGTAGTTTAGATTCTAAATTGTTCAAATCATGACCCCCGGGGGAAGGGCGGGGCCACAATGGGGTATCAAAGTTTTACATAGAAATATATAGGAAAAATCTTTGAAAATCTTCTTCTCAAGAACCTCTGGGCCAGAAAAGCTGAAACTTATGTGGAAGCATCCTGGTATAATGTAGATTCTAAATTGTTCAAATAATGACCCCCGGGGGAAGGGCGGGGCCACAATGGGGAATCAAAGTTTTATATAGAAATATATAGGAAAAATCTTTGAAAATCTTCTTCTCAAGAACCACTGGGCCAGAAAAAGTGAAGCTTATGTGGAAGCATTCTGGGGTAGTGTAAATTCTAAATTGTAGGAATCATGACCCCCGGGAGAAGGGCGGAGCCATTATAGGGGAAGAAAGTTTTACATAGAAATATATAGGAAAAATCTTTGAAAATCTTCTTCTCAGGAACCACTGGGCCAAAAATGCTGAAACATATGTGCCCATGGAAGGATCGTGGGGTAGTGTAGATTTCAAAATGTCTAAATTATGATCAGTGGGGTAGGGTGGGGATGCATTATGTATAACAAGGGGGAAATCTGGTAAAGAACAGAATGGTCAAAGCTTCTCAGGTGAGCGATGTGGCCCATGGGCCTCTTGTATTTAGCTTGATACAGCTTCAAGT